GGACGGGGCTCCTCCCGTCCTCTTTTTTTGCTTGCTGAAATATGGTAACCCTAAAGTTAGAGCAATCTCTAGGACTGAAGTGGCCCCTGAATCCAGGGTGTGCTAAAATGGCATAAAGCTTCCCCTCTGACTGTGGGAATTTCATATAGACCACTTCCTCCCAAAGAGGAGAAACATTCAGCTTGGAAAAAGGGAAGAAAGGAGAGGTCTGGGGCCTGGCTGATGGGGTTCTTGGGGTCTCTCCCGTATGCTGTGTCATAACCCTCAGGTGAGAGCTGGGTGAGTGGAAGGGACTGTTGAGGGACCTGTGAGGAGGATTCTGATATGACACCATGTCACTGGGGGAGCAATGATTGAGTGTCATCAGTAATGACAGTGATCATGAGAGGATGAAGGCTGTGTGCCTGTGAAAACAGAGGAGGGAATAGGAAAGGAGGAGAGACTGGAGCTGGTCAGAGGAGGAGGTGAAGGAAGGAGAGACAGAACAAGGGACAGATGGGGACACACAGAAGATGGAAACAAGTAGCAGAGCAGAGTTCCCACTGGCAGCATATGGCATTTGCTGGGGAAGATTTTGGTGCAGAAACTGAGGCTCAGAAAGAGGAAGTGACATGCTCGGGCTGCAGAGTCAGCAACAGAATCTTGGCCCTGTGCTTTAGCCACATAGTCCTTCCTCTGCCTAGTGAGAGCTGCAGCTGCCTTTAGCCTCTGGGATTCTGACTATTCTGGACTCTTTTCCCCTTCTTGATGATTAATCCTGTTCAGGTCAGTTTCAGCTCCAGCAAAACTGTCACCACGCTGTTGGAGAGACCCCTTGACTAGCCAGCAGAGGGAGATAATTTAGGCCCCACTATGTTGTTGATCTCTGAGATAGTCAATTCTCAGCAGGGGAGCAGAGTGCAAGGAGTGAGCTAGACCAGTGGTTTTCAAACTGCGGGTTGTGACCCAGAACTGGGTCACGGAATGTAAGGCACTGGGTTGCAGCCAGCTCCTAGGCAGGGGGCCACAGGGCTCCGCGCGCTGTCCCTGCCCTGAGCACCATCAAATGGGAGCCAGGGGAGGCTTGCGTGCCTCCACCTAGGAGCCGGACCTGCTGCTGGCTGCTTCTGGGCCACAGTGCGATCCGCGGTGCCAGGAGAAGCAGGAAGCCCCTGCTGTGCCGCTGACTGGGAGCCACCCGAGGTAAGCCCATGCCCCAACCCCACGCCCCAATCCCCTGCCCCAGTCCTGAGCCCCCCCCAAAACCCAGAGCCCCTTCCTGCACCCCAAACCCCTCATCCCTGGCCCCACCCCAGAGCCTGCACCCCCAGCCCAGAGCCCTGATCCCCTTCCTGCACCCCAACCCCCTGCCCCATGGCCCCACCCCAGAGCCTGCACCCCCAGCCCAGAGCCCTGATCCCTTTCCTGCACCCCAACCCCCTGCCCCATGGCCCCACCCCAGAGCCTGCACCCCCAGCCC